AAAACCAAGCACAAGAAACACATGAAGAGCTGGGCAGTGGTGGTGCATGCCTTTAATCCCAGCACTTGGGAAGCAGAGGCAGGCAGATTTCTGAGTTTGAGGCCAGCCTGGTCTACAGAGTGAGTTCCAGGACACCCAGGACTACACAGAGAAATCTTGTCTCAGAAAAAGAAAGAGAGAGAGAGAGAGAGAGAGAGAGAGAGAGAGAGAGAGAGAGAGAGAGAGAGAGAGAGGTTGAGAGGCATTACTAGAAAGTGTAGCACTGTTGGAGAAGGTGTGTCACTCTGGGTGTGGGCTATAGGACTTTTACCTGCCTGGAAGCCAGTACCATGCTAGCACCTTTCAGATGAATGTGTAGAACTCTCAGCTCTGACTGTACCGTGCCTGCCTGGATGATACTAGACTGAACCTCTGAAACTGTAAGCCAGCCTCAATTAAATGTTGGTCATGGTGTGTGTTCACAGCAGTAAAACTCTAAGATATATATAAAGCCTATGAGAACTAAATTCAGGATTGCTATGGTATTCACTGGACAGCTCTGTGATTTCTAATCTTTGTTTCAATGTTCATTTCCAACTCTCCTATAATCATCCTCACTCCACCTTCAAAAGACTCTTCAACTTTACACTTGCAGGAGAGACGCAGCTATATATTCTGATATAAATACCTCTTATACTTGAAGAGACTGGAACTTTTGCCAAACCACACAAGCATAATTAGCAAAATACCTAAAAGTCACTTAAGACTTAAGACTGAGTAAGGCCTACTTGTCTGCTCAGAAGTTGGTGGGATTTTCCAGGTCAAATTCATATTATACTTTACTCCCAGCTATTCTAAAGAAGGTTCTGGTCTTTCTCACAATTCAGTGATATTTTTATCATGCATAATCACAGTCTCCCTTTTTTGTTGTTTTATTAAAGAAGAAATATGTCATTAGAAGTGGTCACTAATAATGACATTGACAAGGTATCAGATACTCTAGGAATATCCTAAATCAACATCATGTAATTCATAGACTTTTTTTTTTTTGCAAACTTGACAAAAGCACAATAGGTCTCTAAGAAACAGACATTAAAATGGACATTCAAAAAGACTGCATCTGAGAAAGTCTTCAAACTAATCTCTGAGTCTTCTCAGTTGCAGGGCAGCTTGATGCTCCTCCTCCAAGTTTTCTGACATGCTCAGGATGTGGTTGCCACAGTGTGTCTTGCACAGTAATAGATCGCAGAGTCCTCAGATGTCAATCTGCTAAGCTCCATGTAGGCTGTGCTGGAGGATTTGTCTACAGTCAATGTGGCCTTGCCATTGAACTTCTCATTGTAGTCAGTACCACCATAAGGACCAATCGTCCCAATCCACTGAAAGCTCTTTCCATGACTCTGTTTCACCCAGCTCATATAATAGCTGTTGAATTCATAGCCAGAAGCCTTGCAGGACATCTTCACTGAAGCCCCAGGCCGCACCAGCTCAGCTCCAGACTGCTGCAGCTGAATCTCGGAGTGAACACCTGTGGAGAAAAAGGTAGAATTGATGTCATCGTCACCTCAGTCCCTCTCTTTTCTTCAGATTTGGAACTGATGAGCCCCTTACCTGCAGTTACTGACAGGAGGAAAAGAAAGACCCAACTCCATCTCATGTTTATAGTCAGTGTGTTCAGGGACAGGGGAGAAGACATGGATCATAGGTTGTTTTCAGGGTGTGAACGGCCCTGTTTTTACTTCCATAGACTGAAGGAATTTGCATATTCAAGAGCAGAGTACTTCTTAGATAAACAACTAGTCCAGCTGGAGAACTACTGGAGAGGAATGACTAAAAGGGCACATGGGTCAGGCAGCAAGATGCTCAGGTCCAAGTCCTAATCCTCTGAGGAAATGCGTCTCATACACCTTCTCTGAACCCTAGACTGATACTCTGGATGTAACTACAGGGACAAATATCTCAATAGATTTTTTTGCCTAAGTCTGTTGCTCTACTCTGGGATATGATGACATGTTGAATTACAGATGGTAGAGTGTAATGATGATGCTGATGGTGGTAGTGAAGAAGAAGATGATGATAATGGAAATTTCTGGAAACAGCTTTTTTTTTTTTTTTTTTTAGTTTTAGAGAATCCTTTCACAAATATGCAATTCACATTTGCCTTTACAACCAGTTTTATACTACATCAAAGCTCACTAAAATAACTAAAAATAAATGTGCTTCAAAAATACTATCTATCAATGATTACTGCAGAAGGATCGTTAATAACTAAATTATAGCACTAACTATAGATGTGTCAAGAAATGGTTTTATGACTAAGGCATGGTTATACATATATATATATATATATATATATATATATATATATATATATGTGTGTGTGTGTGTGTGTGTGTGTGTGTGTATCAACAGAAAGTTTTGATGAAAAATATATAAGAAATTTACATTACCTTTGGAAAACTGGATGTAATTAGAGATTACTATATTGAGACAACCTCAAAATCACAGACACTAAATGAGACCCTCATTAGCAGCTCTTATATGTTTCATAGATATAAACAACTATTTTTGCAAATATATAATATTGCATCAGTGAAATTATCTAGTAGAATAAAGAGAAAATAGGGACAGGAGGTTACAGGAGAAATATGCACAGTGTACAAAATAAAAAGTATGAAAAATCTGTACATATGTAAAGTTATATTTATATTTCATCAGGATGTTTATGCTTTGAAATTTTTAATCATATATGAAATATTCTATGAACTACAACAACTCTCAAGACTTTCACCATAATCTACGACTACTAAGTCCTTGTGGTTCCCCTTGGGTCTTCCAAAAATCTCTTTCCCAATATCCAACTTTCCCTGTTTCATTACCTAATAACACAGTAAGTTTAAGAAGTGCTACCTATGTACACATTGATAGGATTACCACTAGTAAAGGGTGAATCTCGCCAGGCGGTGGTGGCACACGCCTTTAATCCCAGCACTTGGGAGGCAAAGGCAGGCGGATTTCTGAGTTCGAGGCCAGCCTGGTCTACAGAGTGAGTTCCAGGACAGCCAGGACTACACAGAGAAACCCTGTCTCGAAAAACCAAAAAAAAAAAAAAAAA